AACCCCACTGGCAGTTAAAAGGAAGAAACAGCTGCGATCACACACCACTCTTAGAAGCAAGAAGCTGAAGACACCAGCCTGAAGATGACGAATGTGACTTCGTCGAAACGTCGCCAAGGTACTTTTAATTCTACGTGGGAGAAAACCCGAATAACTAAAGACCTACATACAAACACCCGCGAAAACCTCAGAAAACATATATATATATATATATACTTTTAATTCTACGCGGGAGAAAACCCGAATAACTAAAGACATATATATATATATATATATATATATATATATATATATATATATATATATATATATATATATATATATATATATATATATATATATATAGTCAATCAGATAAAAATAAAGAACTCTGGGATGTAAGGTAAAAGGCTTTTTTTATTAATTGCTGAGCTTTCGTTAACAACCTGTTAACATCATCAGAGCAAAGGGCTAAATGAGAAGGGGGGGAGTAAGCGCATAAATTTACATAACAGTTCGTTGTTGAACTGTTATGTAAATTTATGCGCTTACTCCCCCCCTTCTTTGTTTCTACTTCTGCTTTTGGAATTTGTGCTTGAAATAGAAAAAGTGAACTCTTCATTTTGCTTATTAAGCTAATCTGTTTTTATAGAATATCTAGTAATTACTAAATATGTAAAAATAAAAAGTTGAGGCTATACTTTTATTTTGCATATTACCCCACTGAAAAAATGTGAAAGACAATTTTTTTTCTTTCCCCTTTATCCTATACTTCTTTCCCCTTCTTATCCTTCTCCATTCCCCTATTTTCTTTATTTTCATTTGTACTTTTCACTATTAAAATTTCAATAAAATTTATGGAAAACAAAAAAAAAGGCAAAAAGAGTATTCTGTGGTGGGACTAAAGCAGACTATTCAATTTCATCATGGGTACAAAACTCTATACACCACTCCATACACCGTGATACAAAAAAGATGCTGAGGCCCTAGAAAGAATGCAGAGAGGAGCAATAAAGATGATAACAGCTCTGGAAGCCAAACTGTACAATGAATGGCTAAGGGGAACTCAGTATGCTTAGCTTAACAAAGAGACACGACAGCCATCTTCCAATACTTGAAGAGCTGTCATAGGAGAAAGGGGCATCTATTTACTCTCCATAACACCTGAGGGCAGGACAAGAAGCAAGGGATGGAAGCTCATCAGGAGATCCAACCTAGAAATAAAGAAGAATTTCCTGACAATGAGAACAATTATTCAGTGGAACATCCTGCCTCTCCAAGTTCTGAGTGCTCCATCACTGGAGACTCCCAATATTTTGGACAATCATTTCTTCAGGATGGTATAAGGATTCCTGCCTTGGCCAGAGGATTGGACTAGAAGATCTCCAAGGTCCCTTCCATCCTTATGATTCTATGATCTCAACTTCATGCCTGACCTGGAAGAGTTTGCTGGCTGGCTGCTGATGCTTCTCCTCTATCTCCTGGATGAGATCATCAAAAGAGCACAGTTCGGCCAAACTCTTCTCCTTTTTTGCCATAATCTCCTTCTCCGTCTCTTCCATTCTAGCCAACAGAAGCTTCTCCTGTCCTTCTAACCAGAGTTGTAGTTCTCTGAATTCAGCCACTATATTTTTTTTCTCTTTTTTAATGAGGTCCTAGAACAAGAAAACAGAAAAAGCAAAAGGCATTTTTTTATTTTAATTATTCTTACTTAATTATATTTACTTTAATTTTAATTATTATAATAATAATTAGATGGATTCCCTGAAGTGTCCAGTAATGAGATGGGAGAATTTCTTAGGGACAAAAAAATAAAAAGAAATCCTTTTGACATTAACAAGCACAGGGGGAAAGGTTTCTAAAAACCAAAAAACAGACTCCAATTTAAATGATCTCACAGGAAAGTTTCCTTGGCAATCAGGGATTCCCAAAAAGTAGAGAGAAAAATGTTTGAGTTCACATTTTTTTTCAACAAGATGAAACCCACTGTATAAAGCATGGTTTGTGGGATAGGTACCCTTAACCGAAATGTGACTCGTTCAGCCAATGGTGACATTCCAGTCAAAGATACAATCCCCAGGTTAAGAGCAAGTTCTGTGCCCTAACACAGTCTTCAACTTGAATTTTATTTAAGTCAGAACTTGCACGTACCAACAGGCTGCCTCTTACCGGTATTAAAGATGGCAGACGGTATTTTCCTTCCTATTAGCTAAGAAGCTCCTCACTGTTGGATCAATACTTACAAGCATCTCCTGCACTGTTTGCTCTGTGTCCGTTTTGTACGTAGCTATTTTTTCTTTCTCCTCCTTCTGAGCCTTCAGCCAATACCCAACCTTGATCTGAAGAGAAAATACAAGTTTTGAGTTTCTTTTCTGTAAAAAATAACATCAGAGGGAAGACACAGTTAGATGTAACTGTCATAAATGCATGGCAGTTGCCAAAGGTTTGAATTTTGATCATATAACCGCAGGGATGGAGCAATGGTCGTAAATGTAAAAAATGGTTGTAAGACACATTTTCCATTGCCATTGTAAGTTTGAACTGTCACTACACGAATGGTTCTAAGTCGAGGACTACCTGTAATGGCAGGAAAGTGAGCTGCCTGAGTCTCCTGCTTGCAGTCACCTGAGAAGCATCACTGAGAAACAAAAGCTTGGGCTGAGATGGCTTTGGCCTGACCCCTCAGGAGTGTTTTTCAGGGTCTGCACTCAAGACTTTGGAGGACTCTATGATGATCTTGCTCTATAGCAAATGTGGAAAGTGAGTTGGCAAAGGGTGCCTATTTCTCCCTACAGGTAATTTCCGTTGGTAAGCAAGACAATTAAGAATCAAGATCACGTGAAGTATTAATACCACTTTACAAGGCCTTGGTAAGGCCACACTTGGAATACTGCATCCAGTTTTGGTCACCACGATGTAAAAAAAGATGTTGAGACTCTAGAAAGAGTGCAGAGAAGAACAACAAGGTTGATCAGGGGACTGGAGGCTAAAACATATAAGGAACGACTGCTGGAATTGGGTATGTCTAGTTCAGTGATGGCGAACATTTTAGAGACTGAGTGCCCAAATTGCAACCCAAAACCCACTTATGCATCGTCAGGTGCCGGGCCCATTGGGTGGGTGTGGCCCATTGGGTGGGCGTGGCCCATTGGGTGGGTGTGGCTGCTGTGGTAACGGCAGACTGGGTGGGACTAAAAAGTTCAATCAATCAATTCCAACTTTGCAAGATCTTTTTTTTCCCCGCAAGAAGTTGAAATTGACTGATTGATTGAACCTTTTTTTTTTTTTGCACACGGCGGCGGAGGCCTAAAGCAAAAAGGTTTTATAAAACCCAGATGAAGGCCTAGGACTGGGGTGATGGCGCGCGTGCCCACAGAGAGGGCTCTGAGTGCCACCTCTGGCACCCGTGCCATAGGTTCGCCACCACTGGTCTAGTTTAACGAAGAGAAGGACGAGGGGGGACATGATAGCAGTGTTCCAATATCTCAGGAGCTGCCCCAAAGAAGAGGGAGTCAAGCTATTCTGCAAAGCACCTGAAGGCAGAACAAGAAGCAAGGGATGGAAACTAATCAAGGAGAGAAGCAACCTAGAACTAAGGAGAAACTTCCTGACAGTCAGAACAATTAACCAGTGGAACAACCTGCCTCCAGAAGCTGTGAATGCTCCAACAATGGAAGTTTTCAAAAAGAGACTGGACAGCCATATGTCTGAATTGGTATAGGGTTTCCTGTCTGAGCAGGAGATTGGACTAGATGACCTCCAAGGTCCCTTCCAACTTTATTATTATGATCATGAAGTGAAGTTTTGTCCCATTTTACAACCTTTCTTGCCACAGTTGTTAAGTGAATCACTGCAGTTGTTAACTTAGTAACATGGCTGTAAAGCGAATATGGTTTCCCCATTGACTTTGCTTGTCAGAAGGTCGCAAATGGTGATCACCTGACCCCAGGACACTGCAACAATCATAAATACATGCCAGTTCCCAAGCATCTGAATTTTGATCACTGACCACAGGGATGCTACAATAAGTGTGAAAAACGGTAACAAGTCACCTTTTTCAAACCTGTTGTAACTTTGAACGGTCACTAAACAAATGTTTGTAAGTCGAGGACTACGGTAAATCTGTCTTCAAAAAAATGGAGGCACAGAGGACAAAGCAAGAGGTGAAGGTCTCATGTTGGAATTAGGGAAGTTTGTTAAAGGAATTGCCAAGGCATAAAGTTGCAGATGAGTGTAATAAGACCAGTAACCAATGGTGGGACACTGTTGCCTAGCAACAGGAAAGTTACAAGAAAGTTAGAAGGACTCTGTGACAAGGATGCTAGCTAAGGCACATAGACATAAACTTTGGTAACTTCTTATAATAATAAAACACATACCCTTTTTGCTAAGAAAGCTCATCAGCATAAATATGCAATGTATAAAGGAGATTAAAGTAGGGCAGGACAAGAAATCAAAGGAAACATATGTCGAGGAAGCAATGAGAGATTCTTAGGGTGTTAACTTCCTTAATCACAACTGTATAAAAATTGTATATCGTTCGGGGACTTGGCTCCTTCAGCTGCTGAGACACTTTGGTTGAAGTATTTCTTGAACCACCTCTCCTGTCTGGTTCTGACTGCCATCTGTGCCAGGCTAAACCCGGTTTGCAAACAACAGAGGAAGCTAGTAAATTGGTCCAAGGATTGCCTGGAAGGCCAAAGATCTGGATGGCGCTCCGCAGTGATTCCTCTTGGCTGATTCCTACCTGGTACTCCTGGAAAGCCTCTTCTGCAGGGATCACCGAGTGGCCCCTGTGCTCTTTGGATCGGTCGCAGACCACGCAGATGAGGGTCTTGTGGTCCTTACAAAAGAGCTTGAGGGGCTCCCGGTGCTTCGGGCAGAGGCTCCCTCCTTCCTCGTCGCAACAACCGCCGCATCGCCCGGCTTCTTCCACTAGCCTCGCCAGCTGCCTGTTGGGCAGGACGTTGCGGGGCCCGAAGGTCTGTCTGCACTGGGGACAGGAAGCCTTCGATTCCGACGTCCCCCAACTGCGAGTCAGGCAGCCCCGGCAGAAGTTATGGCCGCACTCCGGGATGAGCACGGGGTCCTGGAAATAGTCCAGGCAGATGGAGCAGGTGGCTTCTTCCAGCAAGGGCGCTTTGACCGCCATCGCCGTTCCCTCCGCCGAGAAAAGGAAAAAGAAAGTTAGTTTTGCTTCTTTTCCTGCGAATCAGGTGACCGCCTTTGGGGTGTGTCCTAGCGGGAAACCGAGATGAATTGCTGTTGGTGCTGCGGTCAGCTTCGCTGACTTCTTAAAGGAAAAGTTGAGTATTAAAAAAAAATTGGGAAAAAGCGGACTCCCGATCAATTATTATTGGCCCAATCAGCTCGTTAAAGGGAAAATTCTTTTAAAAACGGGGGAGAAGCAAACATGCATGAGAGGATTCCCAATCAAGTACAATTGATCCCCGCATCCTGTTAAAGGGCGGGTGAGGGGGGGGTTTAAAAAAACCGGGGAGAAGGAAATATTCTTGGGGTGGACCCCGACCATTATTGCTCCAAACATCCTGCTAAAGGAAACTATATTGGAAAAAACCTGGGGAGAAAGAAACATCCATGGAACGGACCCCCTATCAATTACAATTGATCCAGCATCCTGTTAAAGGGGGGGAAAGATTTTTAAAAACTGGGGAGACGCAAACATTTTTGGGATCCCCCCCACAATCAATTATTAATCCAAGCATCCTGCTAAAGCAGAGGTGGGGAACTGGGGGGTCCATTTCTGACTTGTGGACTTCAACTCCCAGAACTCCTGAGCCAGCATGGCTGGATGAAAATCTTCAAGTTAGGCCAGTGAGGTCCTTTAAGGCAAAAGATGGATAGAAAGAGTAATTAGTAATCTCAAGCCAAACTAAGGGGGGGTGTCCCATGGGGAGGCGGGAATCTGGTGGGTGGAGAACATATTATAGGCCCTTTGTTTAAGGGCTTTTTGGAGAGGCTTCCTTAGTCACAACGGGGTCCTGGAGGGGACATGGACACTCCCAAGCCCCTTCCTTCATGTTGCCTTTTCAGTGGTGGCACCTCATTTATGGAATGCCCTCCCCAAAGACCCTCAGTTGGCACCCACAGTGGCTCATTTTGGCACCAGGTGAAGATCTTTCTGTTGTGGGAAGTCAGCCCCCCAGAGAAGGAAATATTAAAAGGGCAGAAAAATATATTTCCTCAAAGGATCTTAAAGAGGCAGAAAAGCATGCCCAGTTTTCTTAATAGCCCCAAGTCTCCCTCCCCCAAGCAGAAACCAGCTCTGTACAAATGCAGATATAAATAATCCAGGAAGGTTGGAAGGCCCCAGCTAGAAGATTAAGAAGACAAAGATACCTAAAATCTACATACCCCACCCAAAGTCTAAGACAGGACATAATAGGATTAACTCACAGATGCCAAAGGGCACACCCAGACTCAGGTCAGAATACATGTCACAGGGAATACAAAGCCTCAAACAGGAACAGGAAACAACTAAAAACAAAAGGCTCCAGAGGGTATAAAAACCCACTCCCTACATGTACTCTCTCTCTTTTCTTCCAGAGCCATCTTTCTGTCTGGCTCTCCTATTCAATAAACTGCAACCTTCTTTCTAAAGCAGTCATGTTGTTTATCCCTGGCTTGGACTGAACCATGATGAAGACTTTTCCTTCAACACTGTGTTGGCAGGAGGGAGGGAGGGAGGAAGGAAAGGACCACTAATATGACTGAGGTTACTGTAGTACATGGGTGTCAAACTTGCCATGTCACGTGATGTGTCACGACATATCGCGACTTTTTGCATTGCCGGCAATGTGGTGGGTGCAGATTTGGTATAATGAAACCGGCCCACGGGCTGGCAGTTTGACACCCCTGCTATAGTACTAATTAACAGATTTTGGGCCTGGAAACTAGGCCTAATTTACAGAACATTCACATGTAAATCTTTTTAATATCTTGTATTTCTGTTGCAGGAAAACCTTCAATCTAAAAAGATTTAATATTTTATCATCTAGCATGTTAAAAAGATGTACTGTATAGCAATATCTATTATCTGTTTTTTTAAAGTCCCTATTCTAGCTAATAAAATAACTGAAAGCGTTTCTCTGTATCTTGCTGTAGTATCCTTCTTTATAATAATCGACTCTGAGCTAATAATTCTGTTCCTAACAATTCTGCTGAGTTGTGATCACCATTCAAAAGCACTATGTTTGAATTTACCATGGTAGTTAATTTTTATTTCTTCTTTGTCTCCGTTTATTTGATGATAATGTTTGACTAGCATTCTTGGACCTATGGCTATAAATAAAACAAACTTTAAATCAGTGGTGGCGAACCTATGGCACAGATGCCAGAGGTGGCACTCAGAGCCCTCTCTGTGGGCACATGTGCTGTCGCCCTAGTTCTAGGCCTTCAGCTGGGTTTTATAAAACTTCCGCTTTAGGAAGTTTTATAAAACTTTATAAAACTTTATAAAACTTTATAAAACCTCCGCCGCTGTGTGCAAAAAAAAAAAATTCAGTCAATTTCAACTTCTCGCGGGAAAAAAAAGATCTTGCAAAGTTGGAATTGATTGATTGAACTTTTTAGTCCCACCCAGTCTGCCGTTACCACCGCAGCCACGCCCACCCAATGGGCCACGCCCACCCAATGGGCCATACCCAGCCAATGGGCCACACCCACCCGGCACTCGGCGATGCATAAGTGGGCTTTGGGTTGCAGTTTGGCCACTCAGTCTCTAAAAGATTCGCCATCACTGCTTTAAATCTTCCAAATAAAGAACATGGCAAACTACCATCACAGTACCAAGAAAAGTGCTTGGACACATCCATGATAGCATCAGGATTGACACAAGAGAGAAATTTATTTTTTTGTACTTCTGCAACCCCATTCAATGATTTGTATGTGGACCTGTGAGAGACCTTATTTCATTTCAATGAATTATTATTTTCATTAGATTACATTATTACTGTTATTAAACATTCATACAAAAGCAGATGGCTCTCAGTACAAAGAAACAAAACATGTTTAAAATGCACCTCCCCCAATCAGGATAGTTTATGCACTATCAAAATTAGAAATAAAAACTCCCAACGGTGAAAATTATTGTTATTGTTTTGCTGCCATAAAAGCCATAAAATCCATAACAGCCAAAATCTATTTACAGCCAGAGTAAATAAAAATAATCCACGAACGATACTATGCTAATCTTCTAAACCTGTCACTCATAATAACTTGGTTGGGCCAAACAACCTAGGTTTATTTAGAGCTGTTATAGCAGTGATGGCGAATCTTTTAGAGACTGAGTGCCCAAACTGCAACCCAAAACCCACTTATGCATCGTTGAGTGCCGGATGGGTGTGGCCCACTAGGTGGGCATAGCCCATTGGGTGGGCGTGGCTGCGGTGGTAATGGCAGACTGGGTGGGACTAAAAAGTTCAATCAATCAATTCCAACTTTGCAAGATCTTTTTTTTTTCCCACGAGAAGTTGAAATTGACTGAACCTTTTTTTTTTTTCCAACATGGTGGCGGAGGCCTAAAGTGAAAAGGTTTTATAAAACCCAGCTGAAGGCCTAGGACTGGGGTGACGACGCGCGTGCCCACAGAGAAGGCTCTGAGTGCCACCTCTGGTACCCGTGCCATAGGTTCGCCACCATTGTGTTATAGACTAGCAAAGGCTGTGTATCAAGTCATTCAATTTTGCAGGCCTAATTTTCCAAGACAAACCTGCTGCCAAACGGCCTCTAAAATTCACTTTTGGCATCTCCTTCCCCATAGCTCCAGCCACATTTCCTCCTTCCCTCCTCCCCCCACAAAAAGGGGAGGGCCTTCCCATTGCTAGCCAATCCCATCTCCCCATTGATTCTCACAGACCCCTCTATCAAAGGCCCTGCTCCCCAGAAGCAGGGAGATGCTGCAGAGCAGGAACAACCCTAGAGGGAGTCAACAAAGGCCTTAGGGTTGGAAGCCCCGCCCCTTATTTACGTATTGGTAGAAGGCGGGTCTGGCTGTCATCTTGACTTTGTTGACCTGCTTTGGGACACCCTTGCTGTACTCCCCATCCCTTTGAAAGTCTGTTGGGCTAGATCAGTTGCTCTCAATTTGGGGTCTGTGAAGTCAAATAAATCAGCATTTGAACACTTTTTGTTTTTAATGTATATAGACATTAAAAGTGTCTTATGACAGATTTTCACACTTACAACCATTGCAGCAGCCCCTTACTTGATCAAAATTCAGTTGCTGGGCAATTGGTTCATATTTATGACGGTTACAGTGTCCCCGGGTCAAGTTATCACTCTTTGTGACTTCTGACAAGCGAAGTCAATGGGGAAGCCGGATTCACTTAGCGACAGTGTTGCTAAGTTAACAACTGCAGTGATTCACTTAACAACTGTGACAAGAAAAAAAATCGTAAAATGAGGTAAAGCTTGCTTAACAACCGTCTCATTTAGCAACAGAAATTTGGGGCTCAATTATGGTTAAGTCGAGGACTATCTGTATTAGATATGTTCATTTGGCTTCCTCACATGCTCCCTTGCCAACAGCAGCTTGTCAAGTCTTCAGTTGTTCAGATGTTTTGAGATGTTCCAGAGAGCTGCTATTAGCAATCAAAGTCACCATATCAGACTTCAGCTTCACCTCCCTTATTATTTATTAACTATGTGTATCTCACCTTTATTATGTTTACAAATAAATCAAGCTGGCAAACATATTGACACATCTTCCTCCTCCAATTTTCCCCACAACAACCCTGTGAGGTGGGTTGGTCTGAGAGAGAATGACTGGCTCAAACTCACTCAGCTGGCTTTCATGGCTAAGGTAGGACTTGAACTCACAATCTTCCTCTTCCTAACGTGGCACCTTAACCACTTGACCAAACTGGATCAACTCTCATCTCAATATCAAAGCCACTTTTGGGGTGCCTCAGTGTTGACCCCTGGTGACTCCCTAGACAAAATCTCCCTGCACTTTTGTTGCCAAGGATTTGGGAGTGGCTTGCCATTGCCTGCTTTCTAGGGCTGAGTGAGTGACTGGTCCAAGGTCACCCAGCTGGCTTTGTGCCTAAGGTAGGATTAGAACTCATGGTTTCTAGTTTTATTTTTTTAACCACCACACTATATTGGCTTCTTCTGTTACAGTTACTCAATAAAAGGCAGAGTGGCTTAAAGCAAGAAGGGAAAAGAGTGCTATTTGGCATCTTGTCAAATAATGTATTTATTTAATAATGTATTTCATTTTTAAAATTCAATTTACAAGGCCACCCAACTGCAAGCAATTCAGTGTGGCAAAAAGCTAAGGAACCACTGCTTTAAAGGCTTTCAAGCATCACTGTTTAGCAAAGTAAATTTTCCAAAGTATTGTTTGTGGATGCCCCTTACTTTAGGGGAGTGTCACGCAGGCGCCATCATGCAAAAAGAAACAGGGCAGAAGGGTCTCTTCAACCAAGGAATCATCCAAGAATGTATGGAGCAGAGCTGCTGTCCTGGCATCAAAAAAGCTCACTTGCGCCTCTTCGCAGTCGAGAGAGATGCAGATATTCCTGGGCTTCTCATTCAGGACCAGTTCAGAGCGTTCTGATGGAGAGATAGCCATGTATTTCCCTTCCCATTCCCCAATCTGCCAGTATCTGGTCTGCACATCAATATTTGTTAAGTTCACTGGCTTGCTGGCAATCCCTACACCCCATCCTGCTGCATCGCCTACAGCAACTTTCCAGAAATGTCTTCCTGTTGAGAACCTCTGACAGCCAAGGACATATGGATTATATTCAAATCTATTGCAGTTTGGTACGGGATGTATTGCTTTAACTGGCTTAATTCCTTTGGCGCTTTTTCGATCTTCGGAGAAGTCAAGGAGGTCAGGATGGGCTGTGTCTGGATCCAGAATTACATTCACTATAAGGGGGAAGGGAAGGAAGGAAGGAAGGAGAAAAACAAGAGCTTCAGCTGCAAGTCTACTTTGTGCCTTCACCCCCAAGAGTTTAACCCTACGGCCTCTTGTGTGAATGGAGTTCAGCTTCCAAACACCACCTCCAGAACTGAAAAACTCATTGTTTTTTTACACAATACCTAAGCATTGCCTGGTCCAGGCTTCTCCAACTTTGGCGACTATAAGACTTCAACTCCCAGAATTCCCCTGATGCGGCTGCTAGTGTCCAGGTCCCTGCTCTGCACCCTTTTCTCCAAGGACTTGGGCTCTCCCATTTTCTTAGTTCCATCCTCTGTTAACTGCCGACATATTTGGTGTCCCTCTGGCCTCTGGCCTTCTAGTCCCACTTACTTAAGTTGCCTTTGCGACCTGCCATTCCATTGCTTCCCATCCATCTGCCACTCAGCTTCACGCCCTCAGGATCCATGGATTACCTGTCCCACTCTCAGCTCCACTGCTTTCATCAGTTTGATGGACCATAAGGTGGAGACAACCCTAGCGCTCCAACTTTGCTATTTGCATTGACCCCAGGACCTAATTTCTTTGTTCCCAAAGACCTGGTTTTTCACCAACTTATAGTCAGGTAGTAAAATCAACAGGATTGGTAGGAAATCTACGTTCCTTTCAGTCCCAGCCCATATTTTCCCACTTGTCCAGATATTTTATTCTACATCAAGATTGACTTCAATTTTCTAGATTATGTATAGAACACAGTACAGTACAGTACAGTACAGTACAGTACAATAGAATAGAATAGAATAGAAGTAGAGTAGAGTAGAGTAGAGTAGAGTAGAGTAGAGTAGAGTAGAGTAGAGTAGAGTAGAACAGAACAGAACAGAACAGAATTCTTTATTGGCCAAGTGTGATCTGACACACAAGGAAATTGTCTCTGGTACATAAGCTCACAGTATACATATAAATAGCAAATAATAGGTCATAAATCATAAAATCATTAATGTTTACTGGATATTCATAGTCTCTAAGGCAGGCTTGTCAAACTCGCAAAGTCGCATGACGTATCAGGACTTTTTCCCCATTGCCAGCAATGGGGTGGGCGTGGTTTCAGTGTGATGCATCCAGCTGGCAGTTTGACATGCCTGCTCTAAGGTATGTAATTCTATATATATTTTTTGTTACTCTATTATGTTTCTCTTAAAAGTTAGTGGTATCAGTTTAAAATAGCAAGCAACTGCAATTCTTATAACTCCTATTTACCTTCCTCTACTTGCAGTCCACTTTCCAGAGTATCTGGGGAAGAAAAGGGAGGGATTCAGCATCTCATCACTGGAACTGGAGTGACAGAAGGGCCTCCCTACAGACACCCTGGTTTGCTTTCCTTGGACTCAAATCAGAAAATAAGCAATAAGGAATGCCACAAGCCAGAACGTCATAGTTGTTTATGTATATTCCACCAGATATAAATATATTCTACTATATATTTCATAAACAGGTAGTCCTAGACTTACAACCTGTCAAGAATGATTCGCTTTTCACCTTGTTTCTCTCAGCTCACAACTTGACAACAAGTGGGAGGGGAGTGGTTGAATTGCATTGGGTAGGAATGGAATGGACTGCCAAGAATCCGTCTGCAGATTGTGAGTCCCTGCTCCTCCTTTCAAGACCATGCTGCACAGTTGTTTGAACAGTCCAGGCAGTGCCCATAATTCAAAAAAGAGTGTATGTGATTGGATAGCATAATGGACTGAAGGGGACGGCCAAAGGGGGAATTCAAGTTTAATTATGTGGACATTTGAGCGGGACAGTCAGAGCTGGTTTTGCTTTTTTTGTTCCAATGTAGTGTATTCAATAAAAGTGTTACTTTTGGGAAGAACTACTATATGTCCCAGAACTTCTTTATTTGTATCTGCTAGATCAGGGGTAGGCAACCTTGGCTCTTTTATGACTCGTGGACTTCAACTCCCAGCTGGCTCAGGAATTCTGGGAGTTGAAGTCCACGAGTCATAAAAGAGCCAAGGTTGCCTACCCCTGTGCTAGATGGACATCTGACACAACCATTCATTTAGTGACCATTCAAAGTCACAGCAGCACTGAAAAAAGTGACTTATGACCAGTTCTCACACCTACGATTGTTGCAGCATCCCCAGTCACATAATCAAAATTTGGTCACTTGGCAACCAACATGTATTTATGATGGTTGCAGCGTCCCATGTTCTGGGATTGTCCTCTGCAACCTTCCTAGGGAGTGTCTGACAAGCAAAGTCAATGCGAGACGCCAGATTCGCTTAACAACCACGTGATTCACTTAACTGCTGTGATTTTCTTAACAACTGTGGCAAAAAAGTTCATAAAATGGGGCAGAACTCACTTAACAATTGCCTTGCTACGCAACAGAAATTTTGGGCTCAACTGTGGTCGTAAGTTAAGAACAACTTGTATGTATTTCATTATATTTACTGGAAACTTATTCTGCTTCCCCAGTGATCAGTGAATATGGATTTGGGAAGTAAAGAATACAGGTAGCCCTTGACGTACAACCACAATTGAGCCCAGAATTCATGTTGCTAAGTTAGAAATTTGTTATGTGAGTTTTGCCTCATTTTACGACTTCTCTTGCCACATTTGTTAAGTGAATCACTGTAGTTGTACAATTAGTAACATGGTTGTTAAGTGAATCTGGCTTCCCTATTGACTTTGCTTGT